ACCCAGACCTCACTGCACCTACGTCACAACCATCATCATCATCATCATCATCATCATCATCATCATCATCATCATCATCATCATCATCATCATCATCATCATCATCATTCTGCTTTAACTTCTATATATATATCTCTCACTCTAAAACATATACACTTTTGGACAGTAAATGTTACTTCACGCTAAATGTTCAACAGTAATCTATGCCTTAAACAGTAGAAAGTATTACATAAAGCAGTACATCTCAGTGTAGTTATTAAAAATCGAAGCCACCATAACAAAAAGCAGCTTGTTCATATTCAGCCATAAGATAATATTATATGAGCAGTTCTTTTCTGTTTGCCTTCACTCTCCGGCTTACTGACACTAATGATGATGCATCATTATTTTACCCTGCAGAGTCAAAACTGCAGAAAGAAATATAATTGGACAGTATCCACATGTTTTTCATCATGTCAAATAACCAGTCGACAACCTTTATATATTGACATAAACAAGCAAAGAGACATGAATGATCGGGAAGACACACAAGAACTAACAAGTAAACGTGTGCTGAACCAAAACAGTCTTATTTACCTATAAAATATTCTCCACACTTATCCTTGCCCATAGTGATTGACAGTATGTTAAAATCCACATCCCTGTGGATATCATTGGCTAGTTCATGAGCCCACACTATATTTCACAATTTACTCAGTAGATGGCAGTACTGTGCAGATTGATTGACAAGTCCACCTTTTAATTGCACAGTGTTAAGTAGGGAGGTCACCAGGGAAGGGGTTTCTAACCCTGAGTCCGAGGGAGTTGGGGACCCCCACGGACCCCCTCTGGCTTACACTGATATTTACTTAACTGAGTTCTTAATCACTTCATAAAATGGATATTTACTTTACTCTAAAATTTACATTAGAACACATCAAGTCGCCCTCTGACCAGTTTTTTTTTTCTTTTCAATAACATGTATTTGCATTTAATCCAATTGTTTTAAAATAAATCCTAAATAAAACAACACTTTTCGGTCAAGCAAGAATAATAAGTTAATTTTAATCTGCGCACACCCGTATGAGGCAGTGATAGCTGAGAATTTACAGCTGATTAAAACCCCCTTTAGTTTTAATAATTAAATAGGATGGAGGGTGGTATTAACTTTTAATTCCTAATCTAAAATTCCCTTTTGGTGACTGATAATGCAGGTCTAAACTCAACATTTGCCAGTGCCACACAGAGACTCCCGAGTTAAAGATTCCTCTTCATGCGTGGATGTGTGTGTGTGTGTTTTCGTCTCCACTCCAGATGCATGTACAATACTCAATTTCAGGCTACAACACAGTCAGCCCAGGCCAGCAGTCATGCCTGCAGGCTACAAAACAAAAGCACACATTGCCCATTTCACACGTAACACCGTTGACTGCTCGCGTATCCTCGCTTTCACTCGGCCTTCCATGAACATTATGAGCGCAGACTTAACAATATCCATCTCGTAACACTCCACTGAATATAGTGCAGCTCGGCTACAAAAGAGACTTTAAAGTTCTACTTATGGGAGTATTGAGCCTGAACTGATTGTGATATAATGTCATTTTATTCCTACATCCTCATTATATTCTCCCTTTTCAGGTTTATCCCATTAAATTACCAAGTTGCTGCAGAAAATGGAGGCTGTCATAGTGTTTAGATCATGGATGTCATTTTATTTTATGGGCTATACAAAGCCCATTTAATCGTAAGTGTGCCTGACCAGTGTAATGGCATAGTAACATATATGAACATTAGCTCAAACAACCTGTGTTAGCGCAAAGTAGTAAAAGAAAAAAAGTAAAAGAAAAAAAATTCAAAAAAGAATATTTAATATATATAAATGTAAAAAGATTTTACTATATAATAACATCAGAAAGGCTGGAAGTGGAACTTTTAACTCTACTAATGTATTAGCTGTTTAGGCACATTTAAAAAAATAAAAAGGAGTCAAGTACTTAGGTCTTGTTGTCCATTTTGGAAATGTATGATTTATGATGCATTAAAAATGACTTTGTGGACGTACACGAGGACTAAATGATTAATATGACACTTCCTTTTTTATTAATAGTCGTTGTAGAATCTATGAGTATATTTAATAACTCTAATTCTTCTTACGGTATCTTTATTTCTCCCCTTAATCACTATGGGATGCCGTTCACAGACAGACAGCAGCCTGTTTGCCCTTACTGAAAAAAAAACAAAAAAACTTTCACACATAAACCTGCTCCAGTTTTTGGTTTGTCCTTGAATAGCCTGAGTGTGATGATCAACATTGGGTTAAGTGTCTGCCCAGTGGCACATTGGCTCACTGCCGATATTAGACCCCCAACCTTCTGTGATTTTACCCTCTGCTCTGCAGGTTCTAGGTTCATACAGTTTGTCTTTATTTTCATAGTGGAAACTGTTAGTAGGAGGAAAAAGTCACTCCTCTGTATCCGCTGTATAGAAACTTTTACTACCAAACCCTGGGCAACCGCTCTCAATAAATATGTTCCTTTGTTGTTAGTGTAGCACTAGAGATTTATAATTCATAATCTAAAGTGTTTATCAGAATAATGTCAAGGGCAGAAAATGCAGCCAATTGGCCAAGAACTCTGACTTTGGAAAAGTCCCTGCGAAAGAGACAGCTTTAGGAAGTAAAACTGTGGGTCTGCACCGAGGCTGAGCTTCAGCTGTAACTGTGGGTTGGAGATACTGTGGTAGAGAGTGGAAACATCATAATGATTGCCACAGTTAATTAAGTAAAACAATATAAAAATAAATAAAAATCATTGACCCCATCATTAGCTGTAGTCATAAAAATGCATTTTGGGATTCAGCCATTTTTCAAGCAAGCCTGGACGTGTCTAACAGTCGCTTAGAAAAATAAAAAATAAAAAAAGAAGGAATTCAGTAACGAGGAAGAAAATTACGAGCACTTTAATACCTGCTGAGGTTTCAGGTCAACGCAAAAAAAAAAGAAAACTAAACTAAACCCCTGCAGCTCTACAGTTTTCCTTCATGAAAGTAATTACTCCACTCTCAGACTTTTATTGTCTTTAATAGTTCAGGAAAACCATGTTCCTCAAGCATAACCTCCTCCCCATTAGTCTTAATTGTTTCCTGACAGTTCTTTCTTCTTCCTGTCAGCTGTGTGCTACTGGGAGCATAACCCAAAGCTTTAAGCATAGGCAAAGCTCACTCTTTGTGATGAGACTTGTTTTTTTATACTTTGCTTCCAAGTAAACAGAATCAAACATTTATGAGAATTTTATGCAAGGCATCAGTCTGTGGCTTCTTCATCGGGGATATAATTTGTCTCCTACTTCACTCAACCTGTGTCTGCTGTAGCCAATGGGTTCACAGCAGCAGTACCTTGTTAAGTCACTAGTACTACTGTAGTACTATCTACTGTATTATTTCATTAATCATCTACCTGCACCCTTGGAGACCTGCAGGAAGGATGGGGTACTGGAAGCAACCCCCCGCAGCTATGGGGTGAAGATGAACAACCATCACACTCACACTTTACCGATGGTTGAACTAGAGCCTCTGATCAACCTAAGACTGCATGTTTTTGGACTTCCAATCTCTATACCAGGGGTTTACCAACTATACTTGTCAGAGGGCCAAAATGCTTCTGTACAGACAGGTTGGGGACCAGGCACTCAAAAAAATATATAAATAAAATAGCATTTCGATGGATGGATAAACAGATAGATAGATAGAGAGAGAGAGAGAGAGAGAGAGAGAGAGAAAGATGTTCTTCATTGATCCCAGGCTGGGAAAATACAGTGTAACAGCAGCATTAGCATACTGAGACAATCAGAAACAACGAGGTAATTAGAAAAAGCACAACCCAAACAATTTATGGTACTATGGTACTTACTCACTTTTCTCAACCTCCCTTACACACCCGGCAACAGCTGAGTCGTCAGAAAACTTCTGCAGGAGATATGACTCAGAGTTGTACCGAGAGTCAGTGGTGTATAGGGTGAAGAGGAAGGGGGTATAGTATAGTATAGTATAGTATAGTATAGTATAGTATAGTATAGTATAGTACACGTGTATAGGTCTTAGGAGCTTCACAAAGTTTGGAGTCCAGTCGTGGACCAGTCGTGGAACGCTAGAATAATTCTTGTTTTCTTTTTAGACTTTTCTTTCTGGTAAAAGAATATGTCCGGTGATGATTGACTACATATTTCACAAACCTAATTCTTCAGCCAACACCATCAGACTCAAAGTGGACAAACAGGCTGAATCTCTCCCTCCTGCTCTCTCTCTCTCTCTCTCTCTCTCCTCTCCCTTCCTCTCTCTTTCCTAGGCCCGCTCTCCCCCCCCCCGCCCCCCCCCCCCCCCCCCCCCCCCCCCGCCCCGCTCTGTGAGGGCTTAAGTTGATACGGAGCCATCAATTCCATTAAGTACTGGCCTGATATACAAAACTAAAGCTCCTGTTTAGAACACGTCTCTGAACCGATAAGAGTTGGCCAGGAAATGGACTGACTTGTAATTCATGATATGTCACAGTCTCAAAGTTCGCCTGCCCACCTTCTCCCCACAGATAACTCCAGACAGTTCTACTTTGTGACTTAATTACAGGAGGTGGTAAGTCTGAGATAAAGTCCTCTCTTACAGGGGGGATTTGGCTCTTTCTGGAGACTTCAAGCACAAAAATAGTAGGTCTGGGCAAATACTAAATGCTCCTATTGATTTCTTCAAATTGTTGTTATAAAAGTGGACGTGCCTTTCATGGTTTCCCCTCTATTGACTTTATAAAGAATGTGACTTGTTATATCACGCGCTGCAACGCCGAGCCAAGTGTCTTTCTCTAATAGAGCAAACAATGTCCCAGTGACAATGCTATTACGCTGATAAGTAGCGAGTACAATAGTTAATATGCTGGTGAAAAATGTCTTCCTTTCACGGCTGCATAATACAGCTTGTTAATGAGCGCTTAACATCGTTGTAAATAAATATACAGTTCACGTGACGCCGAGCCTCACCTGCTTTTCAGTAGTCTGCAGTCAAGGTCGCTGGATCCACAGAAGTCCCGCACAACCAAGATTCCAAACAAGGTCTACTCTGTGGGTGCCGAGGTCGGAACAGGAATGAAGTAATACCCCCAGGAGGCAGTAAGGTAGGTCGAGGCAAGGTTGATGCTGAGGCGCCGCATTCTGATGAGCGCTGGGGGCAACTGGCAGTGCCAGGTCTGAGTGACATTCAGGACTTTATTTTCCTGTCTGAAAGGTGATTCAAAATCTTAGCAATATTTTTTAAAGCACGTACAATCAAAGTCTTGGAATCCTATTTTAGCATTTTTTAGATATCGAGATATCCTCTCGATTCCTTACAGTTAGGGCTTCTCACATTTACCTCATTTACAGTCCGGGCAGAAAAAAGACGTTTTTTTAAACCATCAGCTGCAGTCCGTAGAGGGTTGTTGCTGTGACCAAGGTCTGTGGGCCAGTGGCACACACCATCTGTGCTGGCAGGAGATACAAAATGTCCCATCACCTCGGTTCAAGCAAAGAGAAAAGCCCCCGCTTCAGGCAAATTGACCAGGAATGTCACAGTGGTGTCTGATTTTGCTCTAGCTAATTATTTACCCCAGAAAAAGGTGGCAAAAAAGAGAGGAAAGAGAGCAAACATTTCCTGCAGGAGCTTGTCTAGCAAAGTTCAGAAAGACAATAACTATAAATATCCTTACCACGCTTTAAGTCTTTTAGAGACACAATAAGAAAGTTTGAGCTCCATTAGTTTAACTATGTTAAGGCTCCTGGAAATAAGTCTAACAAACATTTGAACTGACATCAGATTAAAATATGACAATGTTGCATAGCAGGTCATTTCAAAGCTGATTGGAAGAAAGAGATGCACCAGAGCATATGGTGAAAATGTCAACCTCCAATTCCACAGGCACACGTTAGTACAATAAATATTCTACAATCTCACATTGCGCATAAACTAACCAGCTGAATATTATAGCGTCCAGGTTCTGCAAATGTTGTCCTTAAAGAGTATCATCCTGCATTTTAAGTTCTGGGTCAGACATACTTTCCTCACCCTGTTTTGCAGATGGTGATTAAATCTTTAATTGTCAGGGGGAGGTGGGACTGCAGAGCAGCGAGAGCAAAAACTGGCAAACAGATTTTTAATTATGGCCCACTAAATTAAGACACCCAGATTCAGTCTCATATCTCTGGCTGATCTATTCCTCCTCCCTCTCCCTCTCCCTCGTTTCCTCCCCTTCTCTCTCCTCACTCTAGTGCCCCGAGGCTCTGATTGTATTACTCATTCACAGAGATCATCAGTCATTTTCCAGTGACTGTACAACATGACCACATATCATACAGCCCGGGAATGAATGTGTGAGGGACAAAGAGGTTCAGAGTTGGGGCAGACTGGTGGGGGTGATGGGGGTGTCAGACGCAGCCAAGGAAGAAAAAAAATTAAATCCATATCTGAGAATTCCACCACTGTATTATTTTGCAAAAGACTTAAATAACTAAGTTTCTTGTTGAGCAGAAACTGAGATTTCACCATCAGTTAAGTCTACATTATGGACCGGTTCACTTCTTAGGATGACCGCGGCAGGAAACTAAGACATCAAGCTTTGACATGTGACACTCGGCAAAACCCCGAGTGGATATTGTTTGTGGGGAAAAAAAAACAGCGACGTCCTTTGTGGCTCACTCAACCCCACAGGCTGACTATAATTAAAAAATATCAGGGTGCTGTCAATGTGTCTGAAATGTAATATCCTGGACAGAGCTGATTTTCCCTCTCTCTCTGTTCATGCATCTGTCAGCTTTTATGACAAGTCTGCCGCTGTGGCATCAACATGTAATACAGGCATCCATCTGACACACACATACATGTGTCTTTCTCTTCTGTTCTGTATGTATGAAGCCACTGCAGTGCTCCCTTCAACACACACACACACACAACCGGATAGACATAATGAGAGCTGCTTTGCCAGATGCCTAATTATGGGGCTTTAAAAATTAAGCTTTGTTGTCAGTGTGTACTTACTCTGCATCAGGTGACTCGGGGACACCGTGACTCACACTCAGTTTAACAAGGTAATCTTTGTTTAACACTGAGGATTACATCCTGTCACTTACTTCAACTAGTCAAGCCCAAAAGTCTTAGTTACCTCTGATCGTTAATGTTACGTAGCCAGGGCGACATTCCCGCCTTAGCAACACATTAAGTAAAATGTGCGGGAAGGTTTTATCTTCATTTACCTGCCGCTCTCTTATTTTACAAGGCCGTTTTCCTTAAGTTTGTTTTGTTTCACGGGAACAACCCTGTAACTTTGACTGTCTAACTCATTAGTTAAACACATGATTAATTTTTATCGTAGTTTCTACTTAAATTTATAAAGGGTTGGTTCCTACTAGGTACTTGAGTTGTTCTTTTTAGAGTCACTGAAAATATTGTAGCGGGACTCCAAGAGGCTCAGCAGGGTACTGCAAAGTCGGATACAGACCAACAACAGGAAAGTAGAAGTGCGTTCACCTGCATCCTGCTGGTGCTGCGTCTTTATGGCACTCACTAAAAACAAAATGGCCCGGACATAAAAGTTATTTTATTATTTCCATTAGGTGAATTAAAGTTTCGATTTTATTTATCGCACCGAACTGAATCCTGAATTACTTTACTTATTCCATCCAATTTTTTTTTCTAATTCTCATGACTAGTTTTTGCTCAGTGATTCTTATAATCATCATATTTATGGCCTCTGCATTATCATTCATCCAATAAGAACTGCAGCCAATCCCAGCAGTGAACAGGCGGAGACAGGATACACCCTGAACTGTGGGTCAGTCCACGTCAAGGTCAAATTCAGTCCTATTCAAAACAACCATTCAGACTTGGACTTATTGCTGTGGTCAGTCAAAGGAGGCTGGCCGCCTCCTCCCCCAAACACAAACTGACACAAACAAGCAAACATACAGAAAGACCACGAGTTACTATCATAAAACTGTCAGGTGCGTTACCATTGGTTTAATACTCAATTTCCAGTTGAATTTCTTTCCAGGTAAAGACTGAACAACAGTGACCTGTTTTGAAGGGAAACCAGAGCAAACTTCAGGAAGTAGAGAAAAAAATAAATAAAATCCACCAATTTGTACGTAGCTGTCACGAAGCAGCTGAACATGAGGGAGGGAAATGTTGTTTTTAACAGACAGCATGAGCACAGGCTGACACAGAGCTTGGTTCATCACTGTGGTCATTAAGCAGACTGTAATGGGCCATGATAGAGGCTGTTCTGCTCTGGTGCCAGGGCAGCGGACCTGTGGATCACACCGCCATTATCGTCCATCGGATCGCACTATTATGCCCTTGATGGAGGAGAACTGAGGATGGAGCTGCGGGGAGGCTGGAAATGGTAAAAGCAAAATGCAGCTGCAGAGCACAAACAAGTCGCACATACGGAAACTCACGTACACACACGTTACCGTGAAATGACGTCCATGTGAATTAACAAGTAGTGACATCTGGCACCAGCCTCATCTCTCAGTTTAATATGTTGCACCTTTGTGTATGACGGGCTTTTCCTTTTCCTCAATAAGTTTATTTCACCGGGGGGACGGTAAAGGTCACGCATATCTGCATGCAGCAGGAAAAGTTGAACATGCGGGATCATGAAGGAATGATGAAACAACGACGGTGAGTGAGAGGATGACAGAAATGCAGTCTCGGCTACACGAGCTAATCACAGTAAATGTCAACGCGGCCCCTCACTCCTGTCATTCCTTCCATATTTATTTCATTTCCTGCCATGCCCTTGTCTGTCTGAGTGACTTCCTGACAAGATGAAATGTGTGTGTGTTTTTTTCACATGTCTAATGAGGCAGCCTTCATAAAAAAAACATGTAGCAAAAAGCTAAAATGTAGCCAAAGGTTGAATACCTGAGAGATGTGAAAATATTTTACTAACAAATGTATAAACAATATATTGGCACTAAATGGTTAAAAATTGCCCATGGTCTATGTGAAAAATTATAAGATGCATTTTTGGAGAAATGCAACTAAAAGTGATTTTCTTTCTCTTTCTTTCTTCTGTGATACTTTTCAATGCTAGTGTTGCACTGCAAACCAGGACTGAGAAAAACTGAAGTATAGATCACTGTAATACAGCACTTTTTGAAGCAGCTTTCACTTTTTGTGGACACAAGTCAAAAAAAAAAAAACACATCCAAACCTCTCGTGACCCTGCATCCCCTGAAGTTATCTGATGTCAAAGTTTGTGATGGCCATGTAGCCAGCAGATATCACAACACTCATTAATCTTAGAGTGACTTCCCTGGTGAGAGCCAGGGAATTGTAGCCGGTTCTGTCTCTCTCTACATCTACAGAGTGTTCGGACCCCACTGCCAGCAGCGGTCCGAAGTCCACCACAGCTCTAGGACAACACACACTCACCGACTGCATGGCAGTTAGATGGACAAACAGAGTGGGGGGTCAAAATGATGAAACCCAATAGTGGCTGATTTCCAAAGCTGTGGGTGAACACTTTGTGTAAAGGTTGGGTATGCAGGAGGAGCAGATGTGATTTTCGACTCTTCCAAAGGAGTGTCATAAGCTGGTAGCTTTCAGGGTAAGAGATTATTCATTTAATTCTCTCCTCCCTCATGCCGTCTGCGTCATCTGTTTCCCCCACTCTTTCTACTTAGGCCTCTATCAACTGCACAACAAGTGTGTCTGTTCGCCAGCCGAACAATCAGAAAAGTAGGCCAAAACATGTCACTAATTGTAATCATTTGGCCACTGCCAGTTGGTTGCAGACAGTAATTAAGTTTCAAGAAACAACCTAATTTCATACACACAGCCAGTGTAACCCTGAATAAATATTCATGTGGTGGTGAGAACAGGCTGTTTCTGGAGTATATAAATTACCAGCCTGTTTTTCTATCTCAAAAGAGCCTTTGCAATAATATGCAAATGCATATTATACATACGTATATATGTGTATCTATATATGTCTGTATATTCATAAGTTCCCATATTAGTCAACAAAGTACTGCTTGCCTTGATAGAATCACCTCATCTATTCACTATGTTGAGGATAAGAAGAGTCCCTTGGAACAAGGTACAAAAATGATTAGTGAATACCAAACTTGTACATCCAGAGATAGAGCGTCCAAGACAATACAACAGTACTGCTAAGAATAGTAAGTCATTTTCTGAGGGTGAGGTCATCAAAGAGTGCTCGGTCCACGCTGCTGCACTAATAGACCTGAGGAGAATTTGAAAATGTGCTGCTGTCCAAACGAACCGTGACAAGAAGGATCTTGAAAAAATTCAGGGGAAATCTAGAAATTCAGCTAGACAGTAAGCTAGTCAGACACTAGTTTCTTCTTGGTACGATCTACGATGAGGCAAAGTATATATATATATATATATATATATGTATATATATATATATATATACATATATATATATATATATATATATACATATATATACAGGCCTCCTACTGTTTTCCAACTGCAACTGATTGTCTCTTGATATTATTTTTGTGCAAATTTTTTAAATATATATTTATTATTATATTACACTATATATTAATAAACAATTTAGTAATTTAAAATTGGTGTGCATAGTTAACTATTTATAATCTACTGAGCTATACAAGATAAATATATGCAACAAATATTGAAATTCGGGGTGTCTGCATGTAGAAGTGAATACAGATGGTGACAAATGTACTGCAGCTGCTGTGGTTACACCAGTGGTCGACGAGCGAACCCTTGAAAAGTCTCATCGAGAAAGCCATTAACGGAGCTATGATGCTTGTCATCCCGCATTTGATCAATGCCCCGGATTTTAAAGCCTCTTTTAAAATGTCAGATCTGCTTAATATCACATTATTCACCAAAGAGTCCGAGCGCCTTGAGGATCTTTCATGCTTTCCAAAGCATTGGCCATTTTCACACCTTAGAAAAATCGACACGTAAATGTCAGCCGAACTGGAAATTTTCTCGATGACAATGTATGGACCTTGGAAACTGTGCTGCATAGGGATCCAAACGACAATGCATATGAAAACAAATAATTGGAGCCCTTATTTGATGCTGTTATTTGATTCTCACTGGTTAACACTAGAGGGCTCACAAGCTTTACTTGTAACAGAGGATTAACAGATGAGGTGGTGGACTAAAAATTAAAACTACCAAGTATGAAGTACATTTTTGGAATACAAGCACACTTGGAAAAGTTTGCTCGCATTTACCCAAGTCACTCAAGTCACTTTTAACTCAGGGCTGCATGGGAATAACACATGCAACAAACCTTTGCAAACAGAACAGCTGCTCTACCCTGTGGGAGTCATTAGCGCCGAAGCCCATCCTTTTGTCACACACTGTCTGTCCCTCACCTCTCGGTCCAACCTCGGGCCTTTCATGCCCCCCCCCCCCCCCCCCCCCCCCCCCCCCCCCCCCCCCCCCCCCCCCCCCCCCCCCCCCCCCCCCCCCCCCCCCCCCCCCCCCCCCCCCCCCCCCCCCCCCCCCGCGCCCCTGCCATTGCATTCTTCCCCACAACTCAGAGAGAGTCCTCAGGCTCCTGGCTGCTGTAGAAAGTGAGCGAGATTAATGTATATAGAGAGGGAGAGAAGAGTAAGAGGGTGAATGAGTGAGACGGCAACTGACAGGGAGAAAAGAACATAACGCAGAGGTGGAAAAAGATCCATCAACTCCCCACAACCCATTATCCAGGTCCTGGTGGATGATCCCATTCCTCCTCATGAATGCCTCTCCATACAGCCAGAGACAAAGAGAGAGTTCACTTCTCCTGTGTCTCAGCAATGGTGCAAATGTTATTTTCCTAAATCCCTAGCCCCCGCCTGCTGGAAACACCCATCCAGTCTGTCTGCTCGCTTGTCTCTTTCTCCCTGACTCTCTGCAGTCATGCCATAAGGAGAGTCAGTCTTAGTAAATGCCTTTTTTTCCCAATCTCAGCAAGGCAGAGAGGCTAGAGCTAGGTTTGCATCAGAAACTAACCCTACACTCCCACACCGCCACAGACAACCTGGAGCTCTACCTTAAGGTACGACTGTAGTATTCCAACATGCTCTGTACTCGAAACAGTGCTAATCACTCAGACCCTTGCATGTATTAAATATTTGAAATATCAAAAGCCAAGAATCCTTGACAACAACTACATTTCAGACAGTGACTCACAGCTCTCAAGTAAAGCACAAAATATACTTTGAAAATATTTCAGGTTTCCAAATTTTAAGTGGATTCTACGGCAAACTCACGGATTTAAGGGAAAGTTGGAATTAATATGGAGGTGGGTGGATTTTTTAGTGCTTTTCCGCAGATCCAATAGTTCCTTTACAGTGAACCCTTTGCTTTATCAGCCGTAAAATGAGATGCAATTAACCCCAGGGGTGTTTTGCTCCAGGCAGAAAAAATACATCTCACCCTGTCAGGTAGCTGTCTTGGAAATTCTCCCTGTACATTTCTGAAACGAAACGCAAAATGAACTCCATTTTCTGGACGCGTCTGTCTCACTCGTGATGGTTTAGGGTTCTTCCCGGAGGACCCACGGGGTCATCCCTCACCGGATTCGAGCTGATGAGGCGGGCTAGATTGGGAATGAACTCACTTTATGGATTTTCAATCCAAATAAAGTAGGCCATTCCCTTCCAATGGCCGTGGCCCCGGCACAGTTAACCTAGCAATTTGTCACTTTCAAGGGCATCCACTGGGAGTTTGCGTAAATTGGCCAACTTGTCGTCATCCTTCACTCACTGATAAGTAATAGAAGACAGAGATGATGGACATGATTAACCTCTGCATAATCCACTCACTTTTTCACTGCCTCTCATTGGTCCCTCCCCCCAGTGCTTCATCTCTTGATTAAATCCTGGACTCATTTTGCTGAATTATGCTTACTAATCACCAGTGTTGTATAAGTCGCAGATTTTACTTAAGGATCACACGCACACAGTGCCATGCCATTCTACCAGCCTGTTAATCAGCCCTGCGGTGGCTGCATGAGGATGCAAAATGAGATGGGCCACCACTAACTGAATTAATGAAAATAACATTGATTTCCAATGGAGGCACAGTGCCAGGCCTGGTGCAGACACATGGGGCAGATCAGGTGTTTATGAATACCAATGTTAATAATAATGAAGGAGCAAGTAAAAAGAAAAAAATGAGAGAAGCAAGATCACATCAGACTGTAATGCTTGGACACCAGATCTTGACACATTTGTCACAATTACAGTTTTAAAAATATAATTACAATTTAAATTCTGATTGAAAATGCCTTCTTAAAAAACATATAAAAGGGGAAAAATGTATGTGATGTATGTTAACTCAAGATTGTACTGAGTTTGTATTAAAATACAACTGAAAACCAAATTAAACCAGATACTGAGGAACCTGAAATTCTGACTGGAAGACTGCATTGTTTAGTCTTTGTGTGTGTACAGTATGTGTCATGATGGTTTTATTTATATTTTATTTGTTTTATATGTACGGTGCTAAGAAAATATTGGGACAAAAATCATATAAGTGACTGCTGATAATACTCCCATTTTGTTCGAGGCTTTTAAAATCCAGCCAGTGAGCCGGTAAAAAAGACATGAAAACTGTACAAAAGAGATTCTAAATTATTAGTTTGTTGAACAAGAACACTAAAAAGCCTTGGGACATCACCTTTACTCTCAAAGCATCAGCATGAACACACACCGCCGTACACCGCACACAATTTATAATAGTTAGAGAAGCAGAAAGTTTCGCATCGCGCCTTTTTCAATTCACGTTACTAATAAATTGATTGAAATAAGTTGCTCCATTTAAACTAATCAGTGATTTAATGCTAGGCTGAACACCTGCCGTGTCGCATTATCAACAGACGAATGCCCTGCACCACCCAGAGATAAATCAAGAGTAAAATACTGGATCCTTCTTACTGAGGTTCTGTGGCAGACATGTCTGCACCAGATCTCTGATGATCGGCTAATGATCACTACCATATACTATGTGCTTTGGAAATCTACTGGTACTCAGTTCTTAACACAATGACCCCACAGTATACGTTAACACAACCCTGTGTTAACGTATAGTATGCAGCAGAGTTGCATAATAATTTGAATGTTCAGTAGGGCACTCAATCTTCTTTGCATTGTAGGAAATTCAGATATTTGAACCTTTTACAAAGCAGTTGAGGAGCCTTACACTGTGCCACCGTCACCCTTCAAGAACGACTGCTGAACAGTAAATGCATGAGAACGAAGCACAAAATCAATAACCTCTATCCTTTTTAAAAATAGTAAAAGTTTTGTTTAACACTTTACAGAGGAGAAAACAGCAGGGAGTCATCTTACCCAATGACACTGTCAGCAGCTCAGGTTTTCGGTGATGGCCTCAGTGGTTCTTTAAAGAACTGAAAGCAGAAATAGACAGAAGCAGGAAGGTAGTTGAGTCAAGGTGGTATAGGTACAGATATAAGGTCAAGTCAAAGACAAACACTGGGAAACACTAGAACATCTACAGCTACTGTAGATGTTCCACAGAGTTCTATATCTACTGTATATCTATAAACAAGGAAGAACCACTGCGTTAAATTATTGACTCAATGGTCATAAAGTTTCTGTTACTTCTTTTAGAACTGATTAATGGAGGGAAAAGGGTTTTTTTTAATTTTTAAATCCATGCACACACTTAGATTAGCGTCAGAAAACTTTAGCATCCATATAACAGCTGAGACACTGCACACAATGCATGATATCACTTCAAATCACCTCTATTCTTGATCATTGTTGTAATTTTTCCTAATGACTGAATTAGAAATGCACAATAGTATATTGCTGGAAAGAGGTTTGGTCTGGATTGCAGTTGCAGTGACATTGAAAAAAAAAGAAATAAACACTAAAGACACGACCCGTTAGGTTTTATTTCTACCTGCTGGCTAAAAACCAGCATTGCAACTCCACCTGGGTTGGATAATATATTGTCTACAATTTCCACAGTTCCTTTGAAATCCTTAATAGAAAATGAAACAGTCAGGACTCATGTAGTTGCTGTCACTGGACCTTGTTACATGTCAAAAAAAAAATTAAAAAAAAATGTAAACTAAAAAAACCTAACATGTTGATCAATAGTTGAAGGTCAGACACTTAATATCATAAAATTTCAAAATCAAATCAAATAAAAAAATCCATCCACTTATATTGAGAAAAGAATGGAATGTATAATTTTGGAAAACCATGGCTGCATTAGAGATAAGTGTTCAACACTTGGTTTAGAAATTCAGGGACAGACTTAACAAGTGAAAAGGTATTTTTTAAATACCTGTATTTATAAATGAGAGGCAGAGCATTCTAAAAACTCAGAGGTAAAATCCTTCACTGTGGAACATCTAGTTCATAAGAGGATGGTTACGTGCAGGTTTATTTGGACAGATCCTTGTAAAATGTTCTCTCCATTTTGAAGAAAGACATAAATTAAATAAAGCTGGATTGAAACTTAAAAAAAAAAACTATGATGATTTAATTATATTTCCATTGCATCAAGTATGGTTGAAGATAGATGAAACCCTATGAAGTAAATGAAGTTAACACAGCTTGACAGATTTATACTGAATATAACGTTAAAATTATATATTAACCTGTTTTAAAGGCTCACACCTTTGAGCTACTGATGTGAAATCGTTCCAACAAGTTTCACTACTTTGATACATTTTAGATGTCAGTGTGAACCTGAAGTGGGTCCTTCGAGGAAGGCCGTCTCGTGGTTGCCGTGGTGCAGCATGGAGAGCAGAGTAGCTGTTTTTATACTGTTATATAGCAGACCTGCAGAGAAGCAGGAAGCTAGTGGTAAACACACATATATCAACTAATTAGAGCATCTGTTGGCAAACAAACTCCAGGCTGAGGAGTTATTGTATATGCTGTACTTTCAGTTCCAGGCGCAGCGGCTTGTTAGAGACAATATGTAGGGGAAAGGAAGAGAGGTCCAGGCGTTCCGGGGGCTTTACTTGAGTGTTTCCTTAGTCTACCCGTGTAATCGCTCCACCACATTCTGTGCGCTTTTATTCATCTAAAGCCTATAGATCTGTAACTGACAGACTAGTTGACGTATGGAAGTAAGATTAGCCAGAAACGACCGCCAGGATTTTCTCGGTTCAGTGTCAAAAGTGTCAAATATGAGACATGTATGCTTTGGACTGATTGAATGGAGGTATTTTTTTACTCTTCTTAGCCACACTGTGAACAGAAGTTATTCAAATAGTAGTACGTCTTCAGGTTCTTACAAGTGCTTTGACCTTTTCATTTCAACAGGAAGGAAATCCTTTGAGAAAAAAAGGTGAAGTCTCAGACGGTGTCATTTAAAATGTCAGCGTTCAAAAAGATCTAAACTTGACATCTTAACTACCAAATATTCTAAAGAGTGGTTTATGTAGTGCTCGCCATCTCTTTAACTTCAACACTAACCGTTGGAAGTATTGTTTTTTTTTTTGGACAATTAATAGACTTTTAAAATAAAAAAAAATATTTAAAAAAATACATACATATATATTAGGTGTACGTTTTTCCCTCCAATTAAGATTCACAATGAAGAAAACTGTGAAAACAATACATCATTGTACCTATAGTATTACAGCGTACACACCTCTATTATATATACAGTATATATATATTATATGTACAGTATATAGTGTGTCCACTAAGCATATCTGCGGACGTATTCCCCTGAATCTTGATGGCGTTTTTCCCGCATTATGAGTTTGAGCTGCTGAATCGACTTTTGGTTTCAAGACTAATTGAAATTCTCTGCTGGTAATAATTACTTCCTTTCGCTGGTGTCATAAATATGAGGCCTTCGTCTAAGGATAGTAAACATTCATCAGAGATAATTCGGTTGCCTCATGGTTTCCTCACTGTTTAAATAAATCCTCCACATCCAACCTGCAGTTGTCTTTGTAAATTGAATATTGGCTTTTATAATTGCTTTCCTCATGAGCTCCATTCTATAAAAAAAAATAACACTGTCTCCAATATACAATTTTTAACCTTGATGTTAAACACATCAGTATTTAAATCAAGCTCCTAAGGTTGGAGAGAGATATAATGGCCCTACTATATATATACTGTATGTATATACAGTATAGTTCTATAAATTTACCATTAGGAGGCACAGTAATAACTGAACTGAATTTATTTAGCCCATTTTCACTTTATCTTACCTCCACCTTATCTTTAAAACTCTGTTTTCCCACCTACATCTTTCTATCTTTTCATTAGTTCATTCAGAGCTTTTATTTGTCTCCCTTAAAGTTTTTCACCTTTTTTTGGTCTATTTTCTATCCTTTTCCCTTTATTTACTTTTTCTTCTCCACTTACTTCCCTTCCTTTCCTCTTTTATTACAACACTCCATGAAAGCTTTTTCTTCATCGTTGGAGAGGTGTATTCGTCTTTTTTATTTCTAACTCTAGTTATTGTATATTATTTTTTCACAGTGGCATCCACTTGTTTACCTCCTCCGTCACCACCCCCCCACCACCACCACCACCACCACCATCACATGGAGAGATTGATTACAAAAGCTCCACTTCAGTTTATAGTTCTTTCATATAATTTCTCATCCTTCAATGTTTGGATTTTTATTCAGCCACAGTCAGGGTTAGGGCAGGACTCACTCCTTGTGTAGTTTGGATGAAAAATAATTACAGCACCCACTGAACCTCTGGCATTTCATCTCTTAGTGTGATCGAGTATCAGACCTTAATAATGGATCAAAATAGTACCTCCTATGGAAGCATTCATCACATTCTGGTCAAAGAAAATGTAACTGATGTGAAACTCTAACAGCTAAGCATCGCATGTAGGTCGGATGAGACTGACGTTCACCCTTGTGTCAATCACAGGTGATGCACATGATACCGTATCAAATACAATAGGAATTCTTCTGCATCGTGGGTATATTCTTTATATAAGTGTATGTATATGATCATTTTTAACAGCTCACTAATGTATGCATTACTGCCCTATATGTGATGGTGGTAAGGTATTACACTGGTTATAGTGTAGTGAAGTGAGAAAAATAAGGGATACCCACAGAACAGGACTACCTGCATATTGGGCTGATCATTAATATAGAAGATGAATTCCCACTATCGGCTGAGACTATATCAATGCCTGTGAGAAATGCAAAACCAACCTGCGATACATTAAACAGATTTGTAGACTGCTGATTTGTGAACGTCTCTTGCATTTCTCTACTATTTAACAAGTGCCAACCTCCAAATTGTAATTTCAGGTAAGGGAAATACAAAATGAAAAATTACAAATTAAATTAAAAAAAAAATTATAAAATACCTTGTTGATTTGGGTTGAATCCAATCCTGGCAGTCATCAGTTGATGGCAGGGTCCACCCTGGTGAGTTTGAAAGAAAGGTTATCAACCATGTCTAACGTTCATTAAATGCTAAATCCAATTGTCAAAATCTGTCTGTTTTCTAACTTTGAGAACACAATGAACGAACTCTTAACAGTGCTTCGAATTTTCAGACGTATTCCAGGTATTATGGCAGAAACAAAACACAAAAAAACACATGGAGATTCTTCCAAAAGTGATGCCTATAAGGTCAGTTGACATTCACAGTATTGGCTTTTATGGGATTGTTGGTGTGTTGCTGTTAGGCCAGAGTGTAGGGAGGAACTTCAAAAACACATGATCCATTTCCAAAGAAAAAAAGAAAGTTTGAGGAAAAACTCTGATAACTCCACTGCCACCAGGAAGGGAGAGAGAGCAAGAGAGAGAGAGAGAGAGAGAAATCAATAAATAGTTCATCCATTACCATGGTGAGTGCAGATTAGTGAGGGTCCACGGTCAGTTGACCGTCAGTGTAGGTGGCTGCAGACAAGGATTCAGCCCACTGCCCAATTTGAGAGCCGCATGAGAGGGAGGTGTGATGGTGCAGTGGTTTCCTGCGGTGCCTGATCGCCGGGGGGCCACAGGAACATGAGAGCGTGAGATAAAAGGGGAAAAGAGAGAAGAGATGAAGAGGCAAGAGGAGGTACATTCAGGGCAATTTAATCACAGCCATCTCCACTGGATGATAAGGGAGCAGCAGGAGAATATAAATAGTAAGCCAAAGACTAATGGAACTCATTTTAGGAGAGTATTTAACCTATTTCACAGAGAATCCAGTGTAATCAATTACCAGAGCATTAAGCCGAGGCCATTCTTTAATTATTCTTCCAACCTGATTATTCTCTGACACGCCACCTTCGTCCTACAAATAGATATTATATTACCTACACCGGACTTATTGGCGTTTTAAAACAGCGGCCCCGGCCGCAGAGCTACACCCAGGAAAATAAACCAGCCTCTGTGTTATTTTGTAAACCGACTGTGTACGTATTTAGTCACGGGTTTGTATAAACGTGTGCTTCACTGCACCCAGCAGCGCAAGGTCTGAATATGTTATTTCAACAGCCGTCTGCAGGATTTTCTTTTTGTTTCACACACAACTGAGCTGTCATTTTTTTTTTTTTTTTTTTAGTTTTACATTGTTGGGCATTTTTTATTCATGAGTATTTGCTCTAAAAGCAGGACTTTCAGCAATTTGGAAGATGCGGCGTATGTATGCTCGGCTTCTGCGGTCATCAAAATTTCAGAGGCATCCTTCACAAAATAAGCACTTGTTATGACCCACTGGTTTCAGGAACCCTGGCAGTGGTAATTAGCATAAAAACAATCCCGCCGCCGATGGATCTGTTTGCATTAGTGATAGTTCAGTACCAGGCGCCGACTCTTTCACTTCCAGTCATTTTTCAGTCATCTGGAAACATTTCGGGTTGTCAGAGTCATTACTCCATATTTAAAGATGGATTACTCTCTTTTTTTTTCTTGTATAATTTATCAAAGAGAAAACAGCATTGTCCATATTCATCCCCAGAAGTGTATTGTTTATTCTGAACTCCTCAGTAATTAATGGAACCATAATAGAAATCTAATTTTTCTTCCAACCTCACGCATCCCTGCTCTAGAGACAGGATATATTTTTAACCTGCCTGCTTCAGAAAGTATTGTTTTTAAGGATGAAAATTTCTGACTCTTCTTTTTTTACAAAATTATGAAATACAAGAGGTCTCTGAATGATACTTGGTTTAATATATATATATATATATATTATTTGTATGTGACGTAACCCCTAACCCACTAGGGGGCAGAATACATGTTTCAGATCATATACAATTAGAATTGTATGTATTAACTGTATTGTCTAAATAACAATTTATCCTGTTTTATTCTATTTAAGCTGATATTACTGTTTGACATTTTCTCTAATTGTATTTTCATGCCTGCAGTGTTTGTTCGGTTGTTTAACCTTTCAGCCATTAACCATGATTAATCAGTGGCTTTAAACGTGAAATCTAAAGATTTAAAAAGAACTAAATGGCATGAGCTGAACTAGTGCACCAAAAAGAAAGAAAACTAAAGAATAGTCTCTACCCAAGTTATTATTATTTTATATTTGTTCAACCAGCAACTGCAGCATCACACCTCCATGCCCAGTTCCATGTTTTTAAAAGATCATTAAGTTGAAATCTAAAACTGTGATGAAAAAGACAAATGTAATATTTTCAAATATATATCTGGAAATGACAATATATCTATTTTTCAGAGAATTGCAAAAGGATTTAGTCATCTGGGATTTGTGTTACTTTTAGTCAAAGCTGTTAACAGATGCTAATTTTGTTGAACAGTTGTTTAACAAAATGCTGTGTTTTGCAATGTAAATAATGGTTATTCTATTTTATTCTATTCTATGAAATCAAACCTTTTCATTGGCATCTCCAAAAATATACACATACTTATGACTAAATGGTTGAATTAGGACATAAAAATCATTTGACCAATTCCTGGAACTTGAGAGTGAAAATACCTGGAGTTTGTGTCCTCATCTGTTCTGTTGGCACCAGAGTGCATGCTGAAAGAGCAGGAAACCCCCAGGTGGATTGCTGAGAAACTGTAAAAGATAAGACCAAAATAAAACACTCAGTGAAATATTAAATACATTTTACACTGTAATAATGGGTTTCAATATTGAAATACCAACATGAACTCATTAAACTCCATTGATTAAACATAAATATGAGGTGTGTACGGTATATACCAGTTTCATTATCCATAAACAGCGGCATTAGGTGTCCATTTAATATAGGCCGACACTCAACACTCAAAACTCAGGGGAGATGTTACAGGGCCACAGTCAGGCACTGTTGGCTTGTTTGTTTGAGAGTCAATCCTACATTAATCCACTGATACACTCTCAACATAGGGAAGGATATAACTGGCTGCAGGGCGCAATCCGGAAAATATGCAATGCTGCACTTCAAATTTGAGATGTGGGCTTCAGAATGGAAGCATACAGCCACACNNATACAGCCACACACAGAAGGACAGATGTGGAAAAGTGTGTTTGTTTTATATTTATAAAATGATAAAGTCAGTCATTAGCGTGATCACACAGCAGTAAGGACAATAGCTTTGTTTAATTGTTTTATGTGAGAATCGTAAGGACCCACCTGTGAACTGTCCTAGCAAGAACATACAAATATATACCGATACTCTACAACACGAAATGTGTTTTTATTGAGCCGTTAATCTTTAATGTAGTGTAGAACATACTTTGTTTACCTCATTTTTAAAGATAAATTACCACTGTACTTCAGTCACCTCCTCGATGTGATGCTATCGGACACAGATTTGTTTTAAGTATAGATCTGTTTGGATTAGCACTCAGTGACTCGGAGATGGCCGGACAGATGGAATATCACCCTGTTGTCGCTTTTTTTGCCGCTGAAGCAGCAGTGTGTGTTAAAAGAATGTCAAACTAATTGTGGAGTTAAAGACTGGGGAGACCACACACACTGTCTGAAACCAGGCTTATCCATGCCAGGTATGTTGGGACACATGGATGTGAAAGGAATGTACCAGAGGTCGCATGTACTTTTCGTGTATTTGCATATCTGCAGGACGTATAGGAGAGGAGGGTTCCATCTGTAGATGCTGATCAGCCTAAGCTTAATTGCTTATGGTGGCAGTCAAAGTCAATATGTTGGTCAATGGCCCATTTATTCTGCAGGTTCATTTCCCCATAATTAGTCTACATGTGTCTGGCCAATGCACAAGTCTGTCCTCATTAAAATAATAAGAATGGGTTGGGCAGAGAGGAGGGCAGGAGGAATGAAGGGAACAAATGCAAGAGAAATTAGTGGATCAATACAACAATGAGTCAATACAATGACTGTCTTGGCACAACAATGGCCGACAATAAAGGGCCTGGTAAGTCCCAAATAACAACATTAACTCTGTTCCATCACTGCAGGACGGGCTCAGAATACACTTGTAGTATTTCATATAGGTCTAAAATTTAACCTAGATAAAAACCTGTTTCAGGATGTAGTGATACATACACAAAATATATATTTATATATATTTAACATATGCTGCATATAATATAGTTAATATTACGCTGCTATATAATTATGAAACATATATATATATATTTATATATGCTCTACATATACTGTATATACTCTGTATATAACATACATATATGTATATATTTAAAAGATATCTCTGCTGGTATATGTATATATATACATACATATATTCTACATGAGTGGTTCTCAAACTTTGTATACTCTGTACCACCTGAAAAAACAGCTCTCTGAGTACCACCATGATGACCAACATTAGAATATAGTAGTGTACACACTTTGGCAGCAGTGGGGAGAAATCAAAATAATTCCTGGAGTATTCAGACTTAGAGTGAGCAGTCATTTACTTACCCGAGGGCGAGGTGTGAAAAACTAAAATTGGTGACACTGTGGGTGTAAGAAGTAACAGGGAAAGGAGGATGGAGCAAATCCACAACACTACAGTCTACATCCTGACAGACGTGCTGTCAGAATGGATATGGCACAGTATTATAAGCAACTTTGTCAGTGGAGTCAAAGGTTAAAGAGTAATTCTGTTGATATACATGTGATACTAAAAAGGAACGACAATGACAACAGTGTCAGGGCCTGATTATATCATGTTAAGTGAAGACACAGAGTGAGTACTGAGGGAAGTAGGGAATTAGAATGGATAGAAAGTACAAGGGTACTTCAATGACATAATTAATGGGATAATGTGTGTATGCAACTGGATGGATATTTTACCAGTAGATGTACACAGTAATTACTAAATCAAGTCTGAAACTTAAATAATGTTTTATCAGATTGAGGAATGCAGTGATTATTCCACCGCTACCCCGTGATTACATGTTTGAAGATTCCAATCATCAGACAGCCTTACTTTATATTTATGTTTCTGACTGCAATATAAACCATAAAGTTAAATGGTGACAACCGCTGCACCATACTACTGTTATCCACATGACAGAAAGTCTTATGAAAGGATGAACGTTGCGATCTTATTTTTTTAATTCTTATTCTTTTTAAGATACCCCGTGTCGCCCAGATCCAGGCAAAAGGCACGGAGTGATAAATAGAAACATTATATTGTAGAAAATTACTACAATCCTTGTTGTACTGCCACTCTGAGTGGCCTTCACTGCAAGCTGTTAGGGGCTGCATATAATTTTAAAAGGGCAAATGGAACATGGAAATGCAGACTCACAGCTGATGCAGTTCCGAACAGCCTGTTGTTGAAAACCTAAAAGGGAATACAGAAAAAAAAGGAATGAATAATAATAAGTAAATAAGTGTATTTTAACACTTTTACATTTTTTCTCTGGGAAATAAGACTTTTTTGTATTAAAAATACAGCATTTTGTCCATAGTTTGGTTTAAAATACAAGTATTTGTTGGAATAAATAATATACCTATGTGGAACATTAGCAGTACTCCGCATACATTTCCTCCTGACTGGAGTGCTCTGAAATGTGGAATAAATAAGTGATGTGTGTGTGTCTGCATCCTTGCTAGTGCGGCCATGTGTTGTACAGTTGCTGTGTGTAATCCTTGGCCTTCACCAGCTGCCTGCAGGTTTTTCAAAAGCGTCTTACTCTAATTAAAAACAGGTGGACGCAGCTATATTAGCTTGTTAAAACACACCTATCACTGAAGGGCAATGTATCATATACACACGCACAAACACGCACGTAGGCACTAAAACGTCTGATGGCTGCTGGAGCCACAATAATTATGATGGAAGACACAGTAGTTACATTTAAGGCTTTTACTTGTAAAAGTAAAGAAAAAAAAAACTACAATACTTACTCCCTAATGTCTGATACTAAAAATAGTCAGTGTACGATCCAGTTTACAGCTCACGGCCATCGCCTCTCGTTGAAGAGTAAAAATTGCCAGAGCTCGTTTAATCCAACAACACCTTTCCTGCCCATGATTTGACGCATAGTGGTCATAAAAAAAACAATTTTATTTCTGTTTTATTGTTTGTTTTTTTCCCCCTGTTAAATAAATATATTTCCTCTACGAATGTCATTAAGCTTTTGTGGTGGAATCGGGAATACGACAGATTACGCCGAGCTTTTAAAGGTCCACTGTGTGACATTGAGGTAAAATTGTTTAAAATCAATTTCTTTCATAAAAAAGGGGGAATAATATAATTTATTTGTTTGTTTGGTTTTTTTTTTTTTAATGCTCTCATGTCCCTTGAATGAATAAAAGATTTATTTACACGAGGAGCATATTTGATCATGCTGGCCTCGTGATGGACTTTAGAAGACAAACTGAAGACCTTTTAGGTTTTAATTAGAACTAAAGACTATCATCAATTCATTTTTGTATTTGTAGGGAGAGGGAGAGAGGAGCGAAGCAACAAAGTGTTCTGTTAGCCCCCAACAATTCCGACTATTCTTTTGACTGAATATTATCAATTAACTTTAGTGGTCTCTACTGAAGTACTCTCTACTGCAGTGTTTTTCAACCTTGGGATGGTGACAGTATTCAGTTTCATCCTGGTAACGACAAGTGTAAAAGTGATCAGGGAAAATAAAATGTCACTGTGATCACTAATCTAAACTTCTCTGGAGTTGCCATACATTAGAGATCAGACAACCTTTCGTTATATACGTTAAATATGTTATTATTGTTATTACAATTCTTCTTAATAATTAAACTAATAGATCGCCTTATTAGTCAGCAAGAGTCTAAGAGACAAATGGTCTGATGTGATTTCACTGCTGTTTCATTTAAGGCCACACTCACATTGTCTGCAAAAGCTTTTTATGACGTATCAGCAGGTTAGCAACCATTTGAGGCCATTTAGTCAATGGTACATTTAAATGTTCTTTAAAGAATGAAGCGTTTTATTCCTCTTCTAGGCTTTACTGAAGCAGCTGGCAATAAATGTAAACGCCTGTGACTGTCTCTCTGTGTGTACGCAGGTGTGTGGTCTCAGCGTGTATGCGTGTGCGCGCAAGGGCAGCAGAGTTAGCGCTGTACACGGTGAAATAATTCTCCGCCATCACCGGTGATACGACGGCAATTGAACTCTTGCACTTTGTGTTTTAAATGTCCGTTTATGCATTAAACATCCCTTCGATGGAGAATAATAAGACACTATAATAGTTCTTTTAGAAAACGCATCACATGTGGGGGAAGGCCGTGCATGTAAACTCGTGACTTTCCTTTCCCTCATTTCAACTTTTAACAAATGCCTTTCCGGCAGCCTTTCTCCCAGACTAAAATACTTCTCGGTATGAATATTTAATGCAAAACTCATGGAAGGCAAATTCAATTTGTTTTATTTTTCTCCCTGCCCTGTCCATTATTGTGTCAGGTGCAGTGGAGGTTTCAGCGAGAGCTGAGATTTGCTGGGGAGAGTGAAAAGACTGCGTTCACATCCTGCGATGTCTACACTGGTCCCTCACAGAGACGCTGATTTTATGTTTAGTATTCCTTTTTAAAATTGTTTGGCCTTCGTACAAAATACACATATGGTTAGCCACCAAGTGGGATCTGGTGGAAAACTAGAAAATTAGAATTGCAGTGCAGATATTGGTTAGCTTAGTATACCAAATACTGCTGTTGATTTACTCAATTCCAAAAGGAGTAACGTGAAGTTACAATAATCAATACACATCGACTCTGCTCGCTGTAAAGGATCATCAAGGGTGTGTGGAAAATTCTGATTCCCCTTAAATTTCCCCCAAAAATATTGGGTTCAGTGGGCTGGATTCAGCCCACGGGCTGCCAGTTGATTACCACTGTTTTAGATCTACAGTAAGCAGATCTATGCTGCGTTAACTTTTACAGTAGGTAATGTCTGATGACAGTTCTGTAGATCAAAAAGGTATACAAATGACAGTTTATCTAGTGTTTTGATCAGAGATGTTTTGTTCTTGTACTTGAAGGTCTTATTCATGTCTGTCAGTGGTTTTTTTTTTAGATATTTTTCTATAATTTGCCAAGCGTTAATTCATCTTTAAACCAACCAGAGACTGCAGACAGGTGCTGCAAACAACTGTGGACACCAATTTATATTCACCTCAGCTGATGTGGCCTTTGAAACGGCAGATGGGCAAAACGGTGGACCCAGGTCTGACCAGACCTCCGACCCGGCCCTCTCCTCCTGTGCCAGTTGCCTTGCCAGGTGCTTGCCCCCTCTCTCCCTCTCAGGCATTCTTTCACAGCACTTCTTTGAGTATTGGTAGCAGAGGTCGCAGTGTGCTGTTAGCACCCTGCTGCAAATCAGCACCACCAATGAACCTCCGCCTGCTCTGGCAGATAAAAAAGAAATGAAAAAGCAAAAAGTAAATTAGGTGGAACTGGTTTGAGACGAGACAGATATTATTTCCGTCTTTTTTTGAGACAAAAACAAACGAAAATGAGCTGAAAAGTTTGCACCAACACTGCGTTGCATTGATTACTGCAGATATCAGAGAAGACATTTCGGCATCTTCATCTGCCTTCTTTGTTACTCAAGGTCTCGTGCTGACCCAGCAGTTCTGTCATCTGTAATTAAAAGACCGCAGCTTGTCGATTCATCATTCTTCACATTCAAACTATCAGCCTAAAGTTAGAGGAGATTTACTGAAGGTTCTTTAGAAATAACATAAATACATTTTAAAAATATAACTTTGACCTTGTTCTACCACAGGAGACACCATTCAGTATGTAAGTGTTGGCTCTCGGGCTCGAACCCAGGACCTTCTGCAGACGTGAAAGCAGGCTTAATAACTGCTACACTATGGAAGCACAATACTCGCACACAGATAATCTGAAAAGTAATAAAGGATATTTGAAGTCATTATTGTGTTATGGTTTAATTATTAATAAGACATATTGCAGAAAGGGCTTTGAATATATTATAAAAAAGGAAAATGCTTTTTATCTGTGTGAATGACTGTAAAAATCAGATTTTCCTTTTTTTTTACATACCCTCCTTTCTTCTCAGACCTCTCAAAATTGCTTTTACTTTTATTATAGTATATGTCTTCTTATTAGAGCATATCAAGAGTCAACATTGAGTAAGTTGATAAGACACCTTCCAGCAAATTACCAGCCTGGATTCTCTCTAACGCCCTCTCCATATTCACACATTTGAACAAAGACTTATCCACAGACACATGTTTCTTTGAGAGCCTTCATTTTTGTGCTGTTGCCAGGTACTCCACTACACAGCAGGATTTCAATTTACCCGTCAGCCAGCGCACATGCTGATTCATTGGTTTTCTGCCTAACTGTGATTGAACGTGGAGCATAATCTTCTGCATGTTTTGCTCTTGGCTCAGTCATCTGGAAGAAGACGCAATGAGGGGAAAAGGAAACAGCAAGAAGCTGCAGGGCCGAAGAACCTAGATATATGTTAGCCCCTTACCACATCTCTGACTACCTACCGAACTTCCTTTCCACCTATCTATCCTTACATCCATCCATACATAACCACCTAACACTGCACAAGAACCAGACACGTCGGGTTCATGAGATGTAGATGTACCTGGGACTCTTGATTATAGGAGGGAGGAAAAGGTCAGGCCATTCGTCACCCACACGCTTGGTCATTACAGCCGCAACGCTCAACACTGTGAAAAATGAAGCTTTCTCATTTTAATTGACTTGGCATTCTGGGATTACGAATATATATACACACACGGAATGACCCGGCAATCGTCTTTTGTGCCTGGAACGTCTCTTTAAGCCTTGAAACCACTAGTTAACAAGCACTTCAGAGAAAGAAGGGACGGTGAATCATGCCAGGATGCAAACACACAGGTGAAGGAGGCATCGAAGCGTTCTGGACTCCATATACCGTTCTTGTATAGGAGCTGAGGACAACTTCATCACTGAGCTGTGTCCTCCAGGACTGTCTTTATTACACAGCGAATATATGAAAGCTCTGGCACCACGTTGCACCATATGCAGTAAACTGAGTTAATTCTGAAGCCTCTCGACAGTCCTAAAAAAAGACGGACTGTGTGGTGCTCAAAGCATTAGTCACACACTCTATTTCTTTAAATGTAATCCTTAGATTACTATTACTGTTATGAGCCTTTGTATTTGAATTGCATTAAATTTACAAACTGTAGGTCCAGACGGACTTTGAAATTTAAAATGGCACTGAATATTGAACTAAAACTCATTGTCTTTTTGCTGAAACGCTGGCTTTTTTGTACAATGGAAAAGATCAATGAGGAAGGATAGGAGCATGGTGCCATCGGAGACCTTTCGCTTTTTTCGCCCCCCCCCCAGTGTTCTCCCTCAGGGTTTTCACACTGATAGTGCACTTTCCACTCGGCCAAGTCCCAAACACTGCAGCGAGCCCCCAGTGGCATTAATTACCGCACTACTCAACTGCAGCAAGTGAAAATGACAAATGAACGCCACCGTAACGACGCCTTCCCGCCTGCTATACGTAATTACGACCACACGTTTATTTGCATCCAGAATTATTAATTTTGCCCAGTGCTAAAATTAAATCGCAGGAAGGCAAACAGAGCGCAGAGGTGAGCCTTTTGACAAGTCCACTTGCCCTTTTGTATAGGCAAACCAGGAGACACCAAGAGGAGGTTGAGGACGGAGTGAGTGAATCAGTGTCAGATAGCCTTTCAGAGAGGAGACAGCTACGTCTGTAGCAGCAGGGTCGTATTGCCGAACGCTAATTACATTGATGAATGGCAGTGGCTGCACGTCCCGCTACCAGCGATTTACAGCCTCACTGACCCTTAGTGTCATCACAGGTGAAGGACAAGGACTTTAGCATAAGGGGAGAGGAAGAGTGGAAGGGGGGAGACGGGAAACAGGGGTGACAATACCAACATGCATTTACCCATCCCACTGACAACCACAAGGCAACATTTGATTTGTAATGACTCCCCTCTAGCTGCCAGGATGATCATGCCGTTTACATAAAAAAAAAAAAAATCAGATAAATTCGGTTAATATTACCTGTTAGAGCCCTGGCAGTAACTGATGGACTTTATATGGAGTTTGCAGTGGTGGGGTTAACTGTCCAGGGTGTCCTCTGCCCTCTCCTGTTGGCTGCTGGGACTTCCTTTGCCCCCCTCCCAGTGACCCTGAAAAGCATTAAATAATTTGTGTAATTATTCAGCATAACATTTTTTTAAATGCATTTTAACACGTGAGAACCAACCCACACTGTTTCACCAATGATTCTTATGTCCATCTCAACACCCAGCATGCATTTTTGGAACAAGCTTGCATCCGACCAGCGTCGGTGAGTGCAGAGCAGTATTAGGGTGACAACTGCCAAGGGTAGTTTTTAGGGACTGTGGAATAATTCATAATTTTGAGCACGGTGGCTTCACCAAAGTTTTGAGATACCATTGTTTTATTTAATAATAATTATATAATCATGATTAATCGCCTGCCAGGTGTTCAGTTTAATCGTGATTAATCATGATTAATCAACAGCTACCCTGTGATTAGTTAGATTAAAAACTTTTGACAAGCCCAAAATAATTTCCTCAACATGCACAAACACACACAACACATTTGTCTAATTCAAACGTTGTGTCAGACAACACAGAACTACAACACCACAACACATTTGTCTAATTCAAACGTTCCGAACAGCCTGTTAGTACTGTGAGCCGAGCTGATGTTTGGGTCACATGATTGAGGACGCAATAACATGAGCCGATACTGACGATATATAAGACAAATAAAAGAATAGAATTTGTGCATCGGCGTGTTTACCCATTTGTCTGTTTGCTCGCCATTTGTACAGAGAAGCAGAAGCGTCGTCGCCCGGTGATTGATTCCCCCTTTATTTGCCATTGTATGCATCATCAAGGTCTGACACAGTGATCTTGAATACAATTAGGAAGCCCCGGCTCTGACGCTGCTATAATAAAACAGAACAGGGGAAAAATGAGGATGTCAACTCTGTCTGCTGCATCTGCACTTTCATCTATTGCCCTCTCCCCAACCTGTCAGTCCTTTGACGTAATAGATGTGCTCACAGGATGAGGTGCACGGCAGGTCTAACTTTCTAACCATGAGTCATTAGATGGACTTTTTGAAAAACAATGTTGCTGAAAAATAGGGTTAAAGGTTGGATTAAAAGTCAAGTCTTTTGAAGTGTTTTTTTTTTTTTTCAAGGCTGTAACTCCACAATTGATGTTGTAGTGTTTTCAATTCATAAGCTGGATGTGATGAATGTAATGTGAAAAAAAGATTTAAAGTTTGATGTTTTGTTGAAAGATTTTTGATTTTTTTTGTGTACATAACTTGGTGGGTTTTTTTTTTTTAAATTAGTAACATAATGAAAACATTTGAGACCAAATTAGAACTTTTTTTTTTTTCAAAACGCGTCCTGAAGGGGTCTAGATGGTCTCCGAACCAATCAGATCATTAAAAAAAAAAAAGATGGGAAGGAGATGGGTATTTGCTAGGTACCTACCTACTTATTGATAAATCCTAATGATACTTGGCTAGTACACACCTTCAGTGATGCTTGGAGTCATTGGGTGACACGGGTGACCCCACTATGACTGATCAGTAAGCCACAATTCCACCTTCTTTATCCTAAACCACTGCTGTTGCACCCTCTGCTGCATCAGTGGTGGATGCTATGGCTCTCCTTAGATCCTCCACTATGACTGCTGGTGTATGCCTCACAGTGTTTTCAGTCTGCACCACCAACACCTTCAGGTCAACACTTGACTGCACAGCAGTTGGTCTTCAGCTCCTGATATCCGTCGCCTCCATGGCACAGTGGCCTCATATACACCTGTCCGGATGAGACAGATCACAAGGGGTCTCACTCATCCTGTTCACATCATGACTTGCAGCCATACTATTGAAAAAAAAAAAAAAAACCACAACAACTTTTAAGCTGTGCCTGAACTGAGACATGAAACTTGTTTGCAGACGGAGGATCGCCCGGGTTAGATTTATTCACAGTGGCAGTGAGTCTACGTCAACAAGGCACCGGTTGATGTGAACATAAGAGAGAGGACACCTGCCCTCTCTGAATAATCCAAAGCTTTACCTGCTGTGCCTCATATAGGCGGTCACTGGAAAAAAACCCGGTGATTTAACCTGGGAGCTGTCAGAAGAAGTTTGGACATTTCCTGTTGTCAGGATTCTCTGCAAAGAAACAAAAAGGAAGCAGGTGGGAAGATGTGATTTCTGCATCACAAGTGGCATACTCCAAGTAAACAGTACCTTTAAAGAAATGTTAGTTTGAAGAATAATCATTTTTCAAGGATCTACTTGCTTTTCAGTGTACAATTACATTAATGGTCGCTTATACAAACTCATTACTGGCTTCAACTGTGACTCACTTCAGCCTGTTTAAAGAGAGTGAATTATTTAAGGGAGAATATTTAGACAAATATAAACCAACGCAGTACGCTCAACTCTCAGGTTAAACTTTTTTCTCGTACTGTCAGGAGGAAGATTAAGTGTTCATTTTCTGCACGAGGCACAATCAACATTAATATACAGGATAGGGTTCTCTGAATAAATTGCAGACTTGGCAGGATTTTTTTTGGGAATATTTGTCATGATCAGAGCATTTATTTGAAAGAAAATAATGTGTGTCAGTTAAGGGCCAGGTGGCCGAGAGTTCCAGTGGTAGATGTTCAAACGAACCCATTTTAATTCCTGAGCTCCAGTGTGAAGTAGGTGTTATTATTCTCCCACTAGACCTTGACAAATATGATGATTCACAAACAGACACCTAAACCATGACAAATAGTCATTTACAAAAACGAATTACTCGCAAGTGCTGCTACATTCCTAAATGAAACCAAATTAAAATTAAGTATTTTTCACAAGTGTGGCCACGGCTATTTCCTCCCACTTCCTCACCTCACTCCGAGCGGGTGAAAGTGTCGAGGCTCCTGACGAGCATCCATCATCAGAAATACTGGGAGCTTTTCTGAAGCCGGCATTATTGGAAACTCTGTCAAAGCGCTGTCGCTGCACAGATTCATGGAAATTATGTATAATCCTTCATTGACTTCATTGGCCACATGTGGTAAAAGGTCTTCCGAGGTAAAGGTAAATGTCTTAGAAGGGATGTGACCCACCACACACACTCCACCACCACCTTAGAGCCCCACTGTAAACACACAAAAGGAAAAGTGTGAGTATTGACAGATTTCATTGCATTTTAATGCATAGATTTGACTGTGCTTGTGTGGCTGCTATGCATCTTTTAAAATAATTATTATTTATGGTAAATTCTACTTGTGAAATGTTCTGATATTATTTATAAAATGATGATGTTAACTGTACACCAGAAAATATAAAATAGCCATATGTTTATGTAACGTGATGTGCTGTAATTAGTCCTCCTGCTGGCTCTTTAAGATATTACCATTGTTTCCTCACTTCAGTGTTTCTTAACAGCACATTCACTTAGACATGTCACGCAGGTCCAGTTCTGAGTTTTCCTAGCTTTTTCTTGAGGGTAGGCTTGTTGCTAGGCAACCATCCAGAGTGTATGATTAAAACTTTGATTTCTAATCTATCACCTGAGAGACTGATGTGGCTCAAACTCTCCGTCGCTCTGCGGACCAGCTGTAACACAGGCACGCACAGATGCTGCACATTAGCAGAACTTGTCTTTACCATGAATTTGGTTAACATCGTGGTTTCAGCCAACTGGGCAGCTTGGACTGTGATCTTGGATCTGAGCTACTTTCATTTTTTTAAAGTCAATTTCTATGGCTTTGTGAGCCATTTCTTTCATCCTGGTATATTTATTCATTTCTGGCCTTAATACATTTTTCTGTATCGCAGATGAAGACGTATGCGAAAGAAAAGAAAATCTGGTGAGATTTCTAAACTACAGAGGCCACACTAATAAGGTTGTTTCACCTGGGTTTCATCAGTGTGACTGAATTTAGTCCACATCAAACTCTCTCATGTTGTGCATGACAATTTCAGAGAAACATTACATGTCTGTGTGTGTGTGTGTGTGTGTGTGTGTGTGTGTGTGTGTGTTTGTCAGAGAGAGAGATGAAGAGTGAGAGAAAGAGCATTGTTTGAGTCTGAGATGATGAGCGGTGTCAACACACATTAACTGTTTGGCTGCAGGCTCTAGAGTGATACATGGATGACATTTATCCCTGGCAAGGCATGTCTGTATATGGAGGTGTGTTTATGTGTGTGTGTGTTTGGCAGCAGGGGTGTGTTTTCCGTGCAATATGAGACGCAACTTTATGTTCGCCTCTGGCATCTGAGCATGCCAATAAGGAGGAAATCTAATCAACAGGCCATAGATGATGAGATGGCGGCACAAAGTAAGGCAGGAATCGCATGAAATCTCAAAGGAGACCTTGAGCTAAAAGGAGGGAAAGTGGGTAAGTGGAAGGGAGAAGTGTGAGAGATGTTTTCCTCCTACCTTCAGGGGCCAAAATAAAAAATAAAAAATAAAATATTGACTGAGACTGGAGTCAGAACAGAGACACAAGGGCACTTGACAGTGGCCACCACCATTAAAAGAGAGCCAGGCAACAGGAAGATGGGGGAGAGAGGGGGTGTGCAGAGTGTTGACAAAAACAAGCATCAGTCAGTGTGACGGGTGAGCCACAGTGGAAAGAGGCATCTTATGCATTCCAGGTGCTCACCTTAAAGTTGAATATATTTTCCCTGTGTCTGTGTGACTAACACCTCAGAGCATAAAAAAACAAAACAGATAGCATAGCCATGTTTGTAGGATATATATACCATCTGTATATGAACCAATATCTAACAATATGTCCTCATCTGTAACAGTAACGGTGAGGGCTGCACAAAGCAGTAAAGGCTAAAAAAAAAAACATTATATACATTTACATAACAGATACATATATGATATAATGTATTAGTTCAATTATTAGTAATTCCTATATTTATTATATCATTAACTCATGGTCATACCTGTACCAAAAGGCTCAACTGATGTCCATTCCCAGAAACATTGGTAAAGGTCAAAGGTCTTTATCCCTAAAATACAAAAAGAACAATTTTACCATTGCAGTGTTGACAATTTGTTATTTTTGCTCCTGCTGTATTAAAAAAAACATTGTTGCATGGATTTTAGTTTTACCACTGCTGCTTTCTCAGATGTACAGTGACTGTAATGCTTCACATACTTTTCGCGTTCATGCTCCACTGATTGTGCCTGCTGTTGCTATAGAAACCAAGCAGCCAGTCTCATGAAAATAGATAACTTTGATGAATTATACTCAAAATAATTTAGAGAGTAGAAGAAGTAAAGGAGTATTTCTTTGTATAATTCACACCACAGGTCTCTAATGGAAATTCTGAAAATTCAAATGTTGCTCTTTGAAAAGAAAAACTGAAATGAATGCATCCATTCATCCATCTTAAAAGATGTACATTGATTGTTGTTATACGAGACGTACAAGTTAACAACCAGTGTGATGATGCAGCAAACATTATCTTTCTTTAAGCTGCAGCCTATCTACTCAGCCCTCAGCACTGGGCCTAACTGACAGGCAGAATCTCTGTTAACGCAAAGCACATCATGTAAGAAGCAACACTATCAACACGTGGTTCTCTCTTTCCTGCCTTTCAGATGAATTAGAGCCACGGCTTCTAAAACTCTCTCCCTCATGATAGCGACTAATTTGTATGCAGCCAGTGGCCACAAGGTTTAATTACAACACCACAGAATGGTGCCATGACACCCAACTGCAAAACAATTAAAGCCTCGGAAAGCACAGCTGTTGGTCTTGATGTTTTTGTGGCCGCTCTAAGAAAATTGATGGCTTATTATTTCACAAGAACATTAAAATAAGACTGTTTGGAAACTTTGTTAAGCTGCAACTAAACTGTGGCATTTACCAGTTCTGCGGGGATTATGTTTTTTCAATGTACAAAATAATTACCTTATTGACATTGTTTGGTGTTTTTCACAAAAACCTACAACGTAGAACGCATATTATTAAATTATAATAGTCCCCTGATTTCCATTGGATGACAACTCTGGACTGATTACTACTTTTACCTATGGCCATGGAGAAAAAATACCTGTAAGGTCAACATAAGGTATACATTTTGGTGTTTAGATCCCAATAAGCTGTTAACAGACAGAAGGATTGGTGCCTGGTTTTACAGACCTGTCTGGGATTACAGAGGGATGGCCTGCATTCTTGATCAATCCTCGCTTACTCCTGGTCAATCCCCGTGTTTTGAGACCTTGGTTTAGCACACGTCAGACAACAAGAGAGAAATAGAAAAAAAAATAAAAAATCACACAGCAAAAATGTGAACTTGTTAATGGTATCCCTCTTCTTGAACCCAGGACCCTTTGCGTGTAAGGCAGGTTTGATAACTATGGAATCAAGCTACATGATGGAAGCATATCTGTAAGTTACTATATCTGCAGTAACCTGGTAAATACATAGAAATACACAAACTGCAACCAGTGAGTTACCGAAAAGGGTTAAATTAATAACAGTGGTGATCAAGCTCCGCTACATTGTGAGTGGTTCTCATTTTGCTACACTTGTAATCCTTCCTGCTGCTTCTCCTTCATTACAATAAACCAAATAAGCCCTTGCTACAGGGAGTTCTGGCAAAATACCTTGAATCAGCTGAAATTAATTAGAAGACTCTTAAATAACCCCTAATCTCCATAAATAAGTGCATGTTTTATGGATGCCTCATTCAAAATGTATCGTCTCATAGACTCCGAGGAGGAGCAAATACAAGAGCTGAGCAATCCTCATCAAGAATTAACAATGGGCTCATCTGATCTTGTTATTGACCCTAACACAAAGCTGTTCGCTCCCTCACAGACTCTGCCGTATTTTCACTAAGTCACGCACCGTGTGGAAAAACACAACTAATGATAGGCTAACGGGATCAAACAATGCAGATGAAATAAAAATAGGTTTCATTATATTTTCAGCCGGAGCTGCTGCAGTGTCAAGTGCACAAAGCCCATCAACGTTATTACCTGCTTTGCATTTCCATCTATTTTTATTTACTTCAATCAAACACTAAATTAGACACACCATAAAAGGCACGCTGTTTTGGGATTTGGGTTTTTACACTATTAAGGTCACATGTTGTGACTGAATATCACCCACTGAGCACTGAGGAAAAACTCTCAATTATAATAAAATGCAAACAAGGGCACGGTGCGGCCACCGGTCCACATAGGGAACATGGTTGTTTAATTCAGAGACAAAATAATGTGCAACTACGACAGCACTACGAAATACAATTGCATGGCTTTTATTTTGAAAGCCACTATTTTTGTTTTGTCAGGTCAGGTACGAAATGTCTCACACATCGCAACTAACAGTAAGAAATTTTCTGATGGGAAGTTTATAAATGAACGTTTGGTGGAACTTAGATTTTCAATGCACGTGGTACTCCTGTTCCTACAGTTCTTCTATTAGCCAGTTCAACTTCTCTATTCTTCCTGACTACATAAATAAGCCTTGTGATTCAAAACACTCATGCATAATTCAACACTTCGATGTTTTTTTATAACCTTTGACTCACATTAGCACTCTTCATCCGACACAAGTTCCTTCACATGCTACTTTGCTGACCACACCTTGGACTCCCTTCCCGACATTCTTTCATCGGTTCTCTGTTCCTCTTGACCATTTACTGGAACAAATGCCACCTTTGTGCTTAGCCTAGTATTATCTTGCAGCATGCACCGTCAGCTCATCTGGTCAACTAATCTATTTATGAGAGCATTTATATCATTACAGATTTGAAAAGCATGCAATATTTTCGGGATTACATTTCATATCATCGGAGTTGGTCAGGATTTATAGTCTTAGCACTAAACAACTTTAGCTAAGCTTGCTAAGCTCGAACATATAAAAACAAACAAATATATACGTGTATATATATATATATGTATATATATATATACATATAAAAATATACATATATAAACATATGCATATACAGTATATGTACATATATACAATATGCATATAGACATGAACATACAAATACATATATAAACCTTGGAATCCTATTCTCTTCTATTCTTCTCTAGCTTCGACCACATGCTATATGGCCAAGTTTTAGTTAAAGTTTTGTTCCAGAGAAAGTAACAATAAATCCTCTTTTGTCAAATTTTAATTGGATACACTAGTGAATGCTGCATCACGTCTTGTTCCTGTCATCGCTCCTACCCCCAGAGAGAAATGTCATTTTACATCTGCCATGTTAAACTAATTTAATACAATACTCCAAAAGGGGGTTGGTGTGAGTTTGACAATTTAGACTGATTCTTGATCTTAGTAATAATCAACGCTTTGACTGAAGCATTGACTGCATAGCGATGATGAGTAATTAAATTAGGGAGAATCTGACAAAAAAAATCAACTGGTTCAGATGAATGCTTTGAAAATGAGGTAGTGCTGCATCCGGTCACTATGGTAACGTAGCTTTGCAAACTACCTTGTTAGCAGAGCTATTTTTCAATCTAGCGGTGAAGTGGGGCATGGTGGTCTGTAGTGGTGCCTACGTCTCGAGTGCTTATTACATGACTGAATGAACAGATCCTCAGCATGTCAGAAATGTCAAAAAGAGCAAAGCATACTGGGTCAGAGCAGGGCATGACACCAACTAATCCAAGTTTCCTGTGATGAGAGTGGATCGAAAACGACACGGACATTAAGTCTGCCATAGTTTTGGTGCAGTTAATCCTCTCAAATGTGCCAAAATGGTACGTTCCTCAATTTAGGTCAAATTTCTTGAGTGTGATATGAACACTGAGATGAAGTTAGAATATTATTGGCACTTGTAAATTAGCTAAGATTCAGCATCAGTGATATTAATTAAAACTTGCATTTACATTTGCCCTGAAGTAGTTCACTGCTCCTATTAACTTCTCCCATTACAATGACAAGAAAAAGATAAGTCGTTTGTTAAACTATTCCACTTAAATGTACAGGGATCTAATCATTTTCAGAATTTACAAGTTAACAAATAATATTTCACCTAACCTGCTTTACACAGACTGTTATGTCACCCACCTCTCCACTCTGCCTTCCCCAATCAAGTCAGCATGGCAACAAGGATGCAGACAGTGTAACGACATCTATTCATAACATTAATGCACTCCCATGTGGAAGGCTGTGTATTAAAAGAGACGTAGAGTACCGTTCCTTTAACCTTTGATGAAACACACCTCCGTCTCTGGCTCTTGCAGTTTAAGGTGAAGGTACTTCTGAAGCAGCTCTCTTTTGATTTCTGATGAGACGCAACTTTGTGTCAGGTTCCTGCAGGAGGAGCTGTGTGAACTAGTAAAGCATTCTCTAGCCTGCTCATTGTGATGGGACATACTGTAGGCACAGTCGGGGATTTTACAATGATCCGTTCGTCTTTCCGCTTCTGCCGAGGCGTTACTGGGACTCTTTCCATTTGTCCAGTTTAAAGAAGACGAGGCAGAGGAGGATTTGCCGACCTTCTTCTTATCATGAGTTGACGGGTTGTGGCCACTGTCAGAGATTTGACTTTGATCCAGCCTTCTGTTAACCTCACATGAGAAACAGCATTTGGTCTGACTTCTGCAGTTGGAAGGTGATGAAAGAGCACAGCATTTACCGGCCCCAGTATGATTGTTGTTGAGGCTGTGGTCAGACTTTTTCAGATGATCCAGTCTTCTTCTAACCTCTGATGAGACACATATCTGGTCCCGTCTCCTGCCAGGAACTGTAGATAAACCCAAAGGAGATTTTCGGTTGTTTTTATCCATGTGACCTGAGGCGTTTTTATAGGAAGGAATTAGATAATGATCCAGCTTTGACAGGACACAACTCTCCGTCTGGATTTGGAATGTTGGGACGCATGATCCTTCAGAGCACTCACTCAAATACTCCCCCTCGTTAGCTGAGCAGAAAGATGAGTCTTGAACATTAACTAGTCTTGTTTTGGAATTCGATGACATGCAGCTCTGTTTCCAGCTTTTTTGGAATTGTGTTGGTTCATTTTCCTTATAAGATGGCTGTTTGTGGTCAGAGCCACCGACTTGACAACCGTCCAACTTTGTGTTAACCAATACTGAGCCACCACTCTGAGTTATCCTTTTTGAAGTAGATGGCACAGCAGAGCGTTCACTCTTTCTAATCTCATAGTTAGCTGACAGATTGTATTTAGAATCAGAGATCTGATAGTCATCCATCCTTTCCTTGCCCCGAGAGAAAACAGGGAATTTACTGCAATTTGCGTTGAATGGAAGCCTGTAGTTAGAGTTACTATTTTCACCACTATCCAACCCATTAATCACTGTAGACACAGCACCCTGTGAACCAACTCTGTGCTTTAAGATAGATGAATCTGGAGACCATTTATTGGCTCTAATCCCACTGTGAGCTGATGAGTCAGAGTTAAAATCCAAAATCTGGGAATGGTTCGGACGTATTTTGAGATGACTCTTTACGGTTGAAATGGATGAACTTGCAGAACTTCCATTGTTCTGCTTCTCAGTGGATGATTTCCAGTTGTAGTCCTGGACCTGACTTTTATTTACTGCTGATTGACTACAAGTTGGAGTCAAGCTACTGTATTTGGAGGAGGATCTCTTCCCATCATTGTATTTAGAGTCAGAAATGTGACAACAAGCCATCCTCGTGCTGACAGAGTCATTTAAGCTAGGTAAATCTGCAGAGTTTTCCTTCACAGTCCTGTCAGTTTTCAAAGGAACAGAGGTTCTTTTTGATGAACCCACATCTTCGTTATAACTCTCTGCGCTCATCCTTGACACGTTTGACCTCGCGGTACAGACGCGGTCGGCTCTGGCCGTTCTGCTTCCAACATCTAAAACAGCACGATTCCGTTGGTCAAGCCTTTCACATCTGGACGATAATGATGACTTGTTTGAGGTTCTGTATTTGTCAGAGGTTGAGTTCATGTTCACACAGGTGTCCATTAATTGAAAACACGAAGAGACACTGGAAAAACAACAACCACAAGATTGCAAGTCAACAAGTCAAGTGCACATCAAATCATCACGTCTAACAAAACACACCACATGGTAAACATGTCGACATCATAAATAAAATTTTCTTTTTGAAAATTTTATAAATAATATACCGACATAAACTCTTGCATAACAAGAATAATAAGGCCCTGTTTTTTTTTTGTTTTGTTTTTTTTTTATAAAATGTGTTTTGCTTAAGACTAAAATTCATTTGAGGTTCATTAAGGCCAAAATTGTTTATCCGTGACTAAATATATGTCATTATTTGATCTAGGGCACAGAGGAAGCTTATAAACTTGGACCTACAGCCACAAATTTCACAAACAATTACTTTTACAGTGTTATTTACTTTACCGCCTCACCTAAACAGCCATTCTCACATGCACATCGACTAAAAAAAGTAAAAATCCCTCCTTCCCAAACCGTACATCTGGCACAATACACTAGAGCAGACAATCTTTTCTGCCGTTTGCCAAACATAAAATGGCTCTTTACAGGAAATATTTTAACTGCTCCAATACAGTGACAGTCTGCTTTCTACCAAACCCATCTGGTATTTTTCATTGTGCTGGGTGCCTGACTGCCTGTCAAAAAATCAACACGGTAAAAGTTTGTAATTCCGTCAGTGAGGTCAGCATAAGCATAACCCGTGCAATGACTGTGTCTATCGGCCGATTTACTGTGAATTCTAACCACTAAAGCTGATCTGGACACAAACATAAACACATCAGCAAACTGGTGAAAAGACTTGTGTTGATCATGTGCCGTTTACTCACTGCGTGTTGCGCTTGTACATGCCGGCGAAGTGTCGCATGCTAATAAAATCGTGGTCTACCACCTCAGTGGGAGTCATACGTTTGGCAGGTTCAAGTTGGAACATTGCCTTTAGCATGTCTACAAACGCCAGCCTGTCTGCTGCTTCGACGACTTTGTCTTCAGAACCCTCCGACTTGAAACCCCACACCTAACCGGGAAAAACATCATTGTGACAAAGAAAAGTGTTTTTATATCCGGAAGAGTGGATCTGCTAACAAATATTTGCTGGAGACCTACATGCTGGATGTCTTCTAAAGAGGTCAACACCAACTCCCTCATGTCCTTCGGTTCAATTCCCATCTCTCCTTGTACTTTCTCTGGTGTCTGTTGAAAAGAGGTGTTCACTTGTTATGATATTCTAAACACTGCCCAAACCAACGCCCAACTGGATTCTAAAATAAACATCAAATAATAACAGTCCAGAAAAATTCCAGCCCTCTGACAACTATAGTGACCCCTGAAAACATACATGAGCATGTGATTTGTTTTCTGTACCTTAAGTCTCCACAAAGTCTCCGTCGAGTCAAGATGTTTCTCGAAATATAGACTCGTTTTCTGCCCATTGGAAAGCATTGAATCTGGAGGCTGACCTAGAATTTCTACCATGTAGCGCATCTGACAAAAAAAAACACATGAGTATCTCTGTAAAGAGTATTTGAGGTTTTACTTTGTTTACCTAGGACACAGGTGTCAAACTCAATCATGTGAGTGGTCGAAAAAGTACAGGTGGGCCACAAAAAGGATGTAGCAGCCC